CCTGGTGTGGGGGGAGCGGATGGAGCGTCGCCGGTGGGAGCGTCCGGCCCGCAGCGTTCTCTGCGTGGTGGTGGGAGCGTGGCCGTCGGCCGACGCACCCTCCTCGCAGCGCCACAGGCCTCGCGCCCGAAGGAGGAGGGAAGGAGCGTTAGGCCGTGTTTTCCAGTTACTTTGGGAGGAAACTTCCTTGTCACCTGTCACAAGAGACAGGGCGTGAGTTCTCTGGTGATCCCGTGTGTGCTTTTTAACTGCGGGTCTGGAAGAATTCTGGTAAATGGAAAACAGTTTTTCCAAAGCAGGTTTTGGTAGATAAAACCTACTGGCAGACAGAAAACGAATTACATTGTGTGAAAAAGGGAAGCAGATGGGCGTGATTAGGAGTAACTTAATACGGGAAACCCTGAATGTTCCCTAAGTGAAACCAAATCTGTGCTGATGCAAGTTAATCCCGCTGGAATCGGCCACTTCTAACACTCAATTACAGAGCATTGTCAGCTCGTGTGCCTCTTCTTTGAGGAGGTATTTTGATATCCTCTTGCAGTGATGGACTGACCTTATGCTACTAGTTTACACTTTATTTATTTATTCATTCCTCCCCCCCCCCCCCCCCCTTCTATTTCTACTTGTAGGCTGAATTTTGAGGTGTGCGCAGACACTTGCTGGATTTGTTTTGGGACTAAGGAGAGTAAAAATTTTTTTAAACTTGAGCAGATTGAAGTTGCATGAAAAAGAATGATACAAGATAATAGCATTGCTGTCTGGAATTTCAAGGGTCTGGAGCACAGGACCTGTCACTGTTTGCCCCCTGACCCCAGGATGGGTTGTTGTGCCCTCCAGTATTGCAGAGGATCCCTCTCCATTTACCTTTTTTTTTCTAATGGGAAAGTGAATCATAATATATCTAGACAAATATTTTAGCAGAAAATGTTGAAATTAGGATTAATATTTTTCACAGAGTGCATGAGTAAAAGCATCCCTAGCATTTTGTCCTGCCGGTATGCTGAAATACGCTCGGCTGGATTGTTTTTAGGCGTTGTTTACTTGAATAGAATGTAGATGAAATGACAGCAGATACACATTTTTTCCTTTATTTTAACATGGGAGGAAGGCCGTTCCATGGGCTCACGAGCTGCTGCCTCTGTGATCCGTCAGCTTAGCCAGGAGGATGATGATGATGACTTCATTCAAGGTCTAATATGTTTATCTTACCCATTGCATCGACCAAAACTTCAGTCCAAGCTCCGGGATGAAGATTTATTATTTATCAGGTGTCCGGTGCTGTTTGTCTCGGGATCAGCAGATGAGATGTGTGAAAAAGTGAGT